GTCCAGAGAGGAGAGGGGGGCGTTCGAGAACCGAGTAATGTACGCGCCACTGGGACGCGTTCCCTGGGAGGGAAAGGGAAGTTTATCCTAAATTCGCCGATTCTGTCGAATGCAGGGATCCCTGAACAACGTATGCGTCGTTTCGTGAGCGGCATCTAACGGTGCGCGGAGAAACGAACGCGTAGAAAGAAAAAAACGTTGCGTTCATGCATATGCAAACATCATAAATTTATACACTCGTACCGTGTCTTTGTTCAACCTCCGACTGTATCCGTGAGAAAGAAAAAAAGAGGAAAATACAAAAAAAGGAAAATGCGAGACGAAAGGAAAGGGGTTTGGGGAAAATCGAGGCCGAGTTGAAAAATGTTATTTAGTAACGTTAACGCTCGAGGCCTTTTAAGCTTGATCGAACAAACAATTCTATACGATTTTCTGTTTCCTGTTTTGTAAATTTCTTAGCTAACTTGAAATGATTTCAACGAATTAACTTTTATATTTTAATATTTTATGTACCTTTACATATAAAAACAAAGAAAATTTGTTGGATATTGTTTCGCTCGATATTTTAATAATAATTAACAAGATGCATCCTCGGTTTGTCATAAAATGTTTCATGTTTTTCTTATTTCATTGAGAGCAAATCTTACGATAACGTGCTCTCACATTCACCGTCTATTATTCCTATTTTTCATCTTCTCTTATTATATATCTCTATTTTCTTTGTCTCAATATCATCAATCTTTTAACGAATCTCAATAACGAAAAATCGCGCTTACTGAAAAATTTTGAAAATAATATTTCTACCTCGCCACGACCGTCAGACTCGAACTAACGTCGAAAATGTAATTCGATCACGGTCTAATTTTGGATAAAAAAATTCAAACATTCGATAATATATTATTCCATGATTTATAAGATCAAACATAAGTTCGAATTGCCGCATCGATCCAAGCGCACCATTCGATCGCAAAGGTTAATAACATAATAATATATAAATTCCTAACCTCTTTACGTACAATCTTATGGAGTGAAGAATAATATATAATAATTATATACTAATACATTGTATATTAATACATATACAAATACAATTATATATACTAATATATTATTAAATGGCTAGATTTTTATCTGGAATTAGACCATGATCGCGAGTCGAACGACATCTTTGGCGTTAGTCTGAGTTTGACTAACGATAGAAATATTATTTCCAAAGTTTTCAAAGAGATTTGTAAGCGTGGAATACAGTGATGAAATTAGTTCAAGCGAGAAAATGAGTTTGATTTTTCGTCATTGATTGACTTGAAAATTACTTTTATTCGTAAAGAAATTAATGATGGAGAAAGCAATGATGAATATGGAGATGAAATAAGAGGTATAAGAAGGCGAAAAATAATAGATAGTGAATGGGAAAGCAATAGTTGAAGATACAGAAAATTCCAAATGAATAATATGCACAGAATCAGAAGATATACAATTTATAAAAAAAAATCTGCAGGATCGCAAGTATCTTTGAATATAAATGAACCATTAGATTTTCTTTAAATTATTTCTTACTGATAAACTTATTCATGAAATAGTGCGCGAAACAGATAATTATGCAATAAAAAAGTTAAAAGGAAAAGTACTATCGCTCTTGCCCTGACAAGCCGGGGATGCATCTTGGTAATTGCTTCATAAAATATCACATAAAACAATATAAACTTTAATATTCAATAAATTTTTTTTATTTGTATGTAAATATATATAAAATATCAACCCTTTGACTCTCACCAATGGGTTGATACTGCAACTTGAACGGCGACAATATTTATTTATGTTTGATCTTTTTAGAATATCGCTTTATAAATAAATTCCTAATCTCTTTATGTATAATTTTATGTAGAATAATATATTGTTAGATGACTAAATTTTTTATCTCAAATTAAACCGTGAACATTTTCTGCATTAGTTTGAATTTGACAGTTGTGGCAATAGATACATAAAATATTAAAATATAAAAGTTTTACTAATTTGTGCGTGAAATCATTAAAAAATTAGCTGTAAGAAATTCGCGCGTATGGGAACGATAATAATTGTGTAATATAATTATTATTTTTTATTTTCGATCGCGGTTATCTCAAGGAAAAACTTACCCCTCGAGTGGGTCCTGCGCTCGGATGCAGGGACAGCGCTTGCTCGGGATCTGAAACAAGAAGCAACGACGGTTCGGTTCAGTTCAGTCGAGAATACGATGGCGAAGAAACTTTTGCAATTTACAGCGTGGAAAATTCCCCGTAAGAACGATCGCGTGTCCGCAACAACCGAGCCCTTTCGAGGTCGGCGGAAACGGCAGCCAAAGGGAGGACGTTGGCGCGCCCTTCGAGATGTTGCGCGTCCTAAGATGGCCGATTCTCTCGGGGATCATCGAGTCGTTCGACTTGCGATCGATATCCAATCTTTCCACTTCGATCGAGTTTCTTCCCTTCTCCACGTGAATCTGACTTTCAAATGTAGGCACGCTTTTATGTATATATATATATATATAACGCGTGACGAAAGTGGAACGGAATCGAAGCGAAATCGTCCTATTTATCGCGAGATGTCGCGTCGCCAATTCGAATCGGTCTCATTTCTATCGTTGATTGATTTCGTGGCAATCGAAGAAACGATTGCGTAAGATATCATCAAAAAGGATGATGCCAAAGAGATTCGAAAATTATCGAAAATTTTTCGTTGAATCTATTCGAGGTTATCTGTTAAATCTCTTTCCCTCCCTATTAACCGTAGAATTGTTGGATGGAAAAATTTGGGTATCCTCGAAGTAGAGATCTCTGGAAAAACTGCCGAATATTCTAGTTTCTCTCCCCTCCTCGTTCATCTCGCGAAAAGTGTCCGTGATGGGCCAACGATTGCAGCGAGTGCACTCGTCCTCGAGAACCGTGAAACGATTGGAAACGCGACGTTTGGAAAAACCAGGTCCGGTCGCGCTTCAATTTAATCGTTCCCGCCTCACTCGAGAAACTCTAGCGCGAATTCCTCCGCTCCCTTTTGTTCCTTTCGAGCGTGCTATTCTCGCGTACGCTCCCAATCCATGGTGTTAAGCGGCGTAAAATGGGCGAAAACCCATTTCACACGGCAAATGGTACAATGGCAAATACACCGTTCGTTCGACCGACCGTGACCGCGGCCGTTGACGAGGAATCGATAATGCGCGATATTTCGAAATAAAAAAAAAAATACGACGAGATTTGAAAAAATCGATGGTAAAAAAAGTCACAAGATCGAGGGAGGAAGGATAATGGAGCAATTTTAATTTTAGATAAATCCGTCAGCCTCTCCAGTACACGTAACAGCGAACGTAACGCGCCGTGCCTCGAATACACGTCGGTCGCCTAATAATGCGCATCACCGGTTCTCGTGGCGCGTACGTTTAATGTGCGCGGTGTGAGGCTCGTGCACGAGCATCGAATTGCGCTCGCCGGCAAATCGATGTCCCACCGGACGGTACCAGCTCGGTACCAACCGCCCCAAGCCACCATCCGAAGGATTTCGCTCCAACTCCGCTAATTCTCCCCCTCCTTTCCTCCGCGATCGTTCCTCCTCCTCGCGGGACATTATCTCGTCCCTGGCTACGCGATAAATACGAAAAAAGAAAAAAAAAATACAATCGAGTCGCGAAGTAGAGAAAATAATCGATACGGACGATTTCTCCAACATTTTCCATGAAATTTCGCGGTATACTCGCGGCCGCTTATCTTGTTTGCGGATAGAAAGGTAATTCCGTGGACATCGATCCGGATTTGGAGTCGAATCGAAGGTCGAGAACGTTGGAAAAATTATTGGAGAGCGGAAGGAAGGAGAGGAAAAAGGGAGACGACGACTCGAATGAACGTTTCATTTGGACGGTTGACGTGGCCGGAAATGGGAAATGGAGCTCGAGGCCAACGAAGACCGGTGAAATGCAAATGAACGACTGGCTACAACGCCGCTCCTATACCCTGCTCCTCTCCTAGTCCTCGAG